GCCTCGTACACTTGGTAAAATGGAGCGATGGGCAGCGAGCAGGGGTTCAAAGCTGGTTTCGTTTCCCGGCTCGCCAAAACATTTTGGACGGGGGCAAGCGGACCAAAGTGCGGCGGGCACGGAAGCTCTCCAAGAACGAACGGGCGGGCGGGCCCAGGCAAGGTACGCACGTCATTGTGGGAGAGTAGGTACTTACACACTAAGGTATGTAGAGGTCCTCACCAACGCTGTGTGCGTCCCGGCCAGGCAGAACCGGTGTCCCGGGACACTGCTGCCGGACCTGGACCTCGTGGCCCTCGACAATGAATGCGCTCCGTCGGGGCCTTGGATGGAATGTGCGCCGTCTTAGCACCCGCCCGCGCGCGGTGCCGTTCGTTGTCAGTGACGGCCATGACATGATTGGGCACCACTTCACCACCAAAGCGCACCAGCACCGGTCTGACTGGGAGGAAATACTGAACCCCAGAAAGATGGAGGGGAACGACCGAAGAAACGAACCACTTGCGGCCTTAGTAATCCACTGAAAAAGCAACAAGCTGTTGGCCAAGCTCTGTGGGAGTGGAGGTCGGGTGCGGCACGCCTGATTCGGGGGAGCCTAAGCCTAAATCCATGGCCCCCAGAAGACGGGCAGACAGACAGACACAGAGAAGCTGAAGTGGGCTCGAAGCAGCAGCAGCAGCAAGTCCGACTTCCATGCAGAAACGCTGACGGAGCGCGCGGAGCTAGAGAAACCGGGCATCGCTGTAATTGGCAGCTGCCTCGCACCCAAAAGGCACCCGACGACGCTATTTGCGCATCCTCCACCAACTTGCAGATGCAGCCTGCCCGAGCTTGCCTTGCTGCTGCTCCTCCTCCATCGTCTCGTCATCCTGCCTATCCCGTCTGTCTTCGTACCACCACCACCACCACCACCACCACCACCACCACCACTACTGTCTAGGTTGCCTTTTCACTCACCACCCACTTGGCTGGCAGCTGAGTTCCGTCACCTACAAGCAAGGAAACACCGACTCAAGCTTGGGTGCTGACCTGGCCTTGCGCACCGCCTCACCTGTCTGTCAAACAAGGTTTCGCCGGGCTTTGCGTTCTTTAACCAACTCATCTTACTTTTTTTTCTGTTCCGCTTCTCTGCCTTGCCTTGCCTGCGCCGTACTCGTGCCTTTCCAGGTTCCTCGAGCCCTCGCGCGCGCTTTTCCTCCATTATCCGTCCCGTCGCTCTCCCGCACACACCACAGCCACAGCTCCGGCGACAATTGCGACTGCGACGAACACCATTGCCGCTGACCACCCACGACCATCTTGTCCCATGAGCCGGATTTCCATCGCACACCGGAGACTTCCAACCACACATCATTGAAGACTTCCTGCCGCAAACCCTACTCAAGACGACGACACCCGTCGCCTCTCAATTGCAGCCATGGTGAACGCCGCTGGAGGCATCGTCATCGCCATCCTGGTGCTACTGCTTGTCGCTGGAGTCGGTTGGGTCATCTTCACTCAGCTGCGCGCCCGCAGACTGGGCGTAAGTCAAGCCTCCCACTTCGCATCGTCGTTCCTTCCTCTCAAAGAGGCAATGGTGGAACTGCCTCAATTTTTCCCTGCTAACCTCATGTCAATAGCTCCCGCCGCCCTCGCTTTCCTCGTACATACCATTCCGAAAATCCGAACCACCAGCTTACGGACCCCCGCGCCCTGCGCCCAGCGGCATCGTCGGCTGGTTCAACGACAAGATCACCGGCTTCAAGAACCGCAACAACCGATCCGCCGCTGGCGCCTACGAGCAGCCCTCGGCCGGTGCACCCCGTCGAGGTTTCGGACCCCTCGACCCCGACGAGGCTTGGGATACTCGCGTCGGCCACGAGGCGGAGACCTACGGACCCTATGGCAATTATGAAGAGCAGGAGCTCGGCTACCGGGGCGGCGCTGGCGGAGGCGACAGCTACAACATGAACATGGCCGCTACCCCCAACGTTCATGATGAGCCCGCGAGGGGTCGCAGTCTCAGCCGACCCGGTGACGACCTCACTGTGCCCAAGGGAGGCAGGAATCCTTTCGATGACGACGCGGAGCCAAGCAACATCAGCCTCCGCGGCGTAAGCCCGCGGCCAATGGTCGATACTGCGCCGCAGCAACAGCCCAAGGAGAATGGTGAGAGCCCGACAGAACGGAGGTCCATTTTCAGAGAGAACGTATAAGAAGACTACGACCAACAAGATGCGCCGCCGCAAGTCAGGCGATGGATACAAGTAGATATTGCGGTCTCTAGAAGGGCCCGACAAAACAGAGCGATTACAGCCGAGTTATAACGGAGGAGGATGATCGAGCAGAACGGAGGGAGCCCGGCTTGCCTTTGGGCAATCCTATGGAGATATGATGTAAGGAAAGCGGGCCAGAAGGACGGGCAGGGCACCGGACATGTCACGAATGGGATGTGCAATATTGTTTTCACGCGTATCCACGGCGTTGGGTCTTTTCGTTCTTTCTTTCATCCGACTTATTCTCTGCGAGAGCAATAAAATTTTACCATAAGCCGTGATCGACAAACCGGCCCGCCATTGATCTCCCTGCGTAGTATCTCCCCGGAAGAGTGCGAACGCCGGACATGCCGCTCCCGGCATCCCACCGGGCAACCAATCTGTGGATACCGCCGCAATGTAACGGAATCCTCACTAAACTTGGGGGACAACCACAGCTTTTCCTCTCCCGTCGCCTGATGTGAACGTCCGTCGCATGCTCCTTCCGCAGGCGGCGATTGGTCGATGTCTCTCCGGGTCCCTGCCCGCCCGCCTGATCCGAACCCGCCAAGACCCGCCCGAGAAGAACCTGACCTGACAACCGTGCCGGGGTTGACATTGAAGGAAGGGTGAGAGCCGCCCGTTGGCAGTTCCCCACAGTCCCCCCAAGCTGTGACCTCATTCTCCAAACCCCGCCATCATTCCGTTCCCCTCCCCCTCTGCCCCTCCAAAGCTCGCCTTAGACTCCAAAAAACAGTGATCGACAAAGACAATTCTCCTCACCAGGAACACGCCCACGCCCTTGAAGACGAAGACGAACCAGTGCAATTGAGATAAATCGCGTTCAGGGACTTCAGATACCAGCAGCAAAGATGGCGGGCCTCAACCTCCAAGAGATCCACGACACCCTGGTCGACATCGCCAGCGAGGCCGGCAAGATGATCATGGCCGCGAACCCGTCCTCAATCGACCAAGGGACCAAGCTCAACTGTGAATGCGCCTCTCATCCCGCAGCATTCCCACGCAAGCTCCGAACCCCAGCTAACTGACCCCTCCCAGCCGTCGACATCGTCACCGAAACAGACCAAGCCGTCGAGAAGATGGTCTCGACCCGCCTCCAAACAACATACCCCAACATCTCTTTCATGGGCGAAGAAACCTACACAAAGGGCACCCGCCTCGGCCCCGAGCCCACCTTCGTCGTCGACCCCATCGACGGCACCACCAACTTCGTCCACTCCTTCCCGGACGCCTGCATCTCCCTCGGCCTCGCCGTCGCCCACGTCCCCGTCGTCGGCGTCATCTACAACCCCTTCCAGGACCTGTGGTACACCGCCGTCAAGGGCAAGGGCGCCTTCATGCGCCGCGCGGGCGGCGCCCAGCAGCGCCTGCCCCTTGCCAAGTCCCCGGTGCCCCTCCGCGGCCTCGACAGCGCGCTGCTCGCGTGCGAGTGGGGGTCCACGCGCGACGGGCCCAACTTCGAGCTCAAGGCGGAGACGTTCAAGAAGCTCGCGGCCACGAAGGAGAGCGGCGGCGCGATGGTGCACTCCATGCGCGCGCTGGGGTCTGCGGCGCTGAATCTCGCTGCTGTCGCGGCGGGGCAGTTGGATGCGTACTGGGAGGGCGGCTGCTGGGCGTGGGATGTCTGCGCCGGGTGGTGTATCCTGAACGAGGCCGGGGGTATCATGGCCGGTGGAAACCCGGGTGTGTGGGAACCTGCTGTCGATGAGAGGGTGTACCTCGCTGTCAGGGGGGCGCCAAGCGGGCAAAAGGAGCTTGTTGAGGAGTTTTGGGGCGTTCTTGGGGACGGCAAGTTGGATTACTCTGTTTAAGAGTTCGGCTTGTCAGGAGGGTGATGATCGAAAAGGAGGCTGCCTCGACGTCCGCTTGGTCAATCTTTCGAACGTTGATCTGAAGGGAGAAGGAAAATATGCACATTTTGCATTTCAAAACAATTTTATGAAAATATTCATAGACGTGGATCTCTATAGACACGAGGTAGTCGCTGACGATGGGCACTGGAATAGAGAGGCAACTGTTGATAGACGAACTACCTAGATCGCGGTTATCTTGACCCAGACATGCTGTCGTATTGGCGTTTGTCAAACATCGTAGACCTAACGCGATTGGGAGCGGTTGGTTGCAATTTAAAAGCAATACCAAGCAAACATAACATCCCACTTCATATTCATGTTCAACAGGTTGGAGACTGTTCGTCCCATATGTCTGCAGGTTGAACCTGAGCTTCAGATGAACACAAGATCTATGGCGAGAGTTGCATGAAATCCCCCGCTTCAATCCTCATGCAGAGATCAGATGGCTTATGTGTTTCTCTATATCATATTCTACCTTCAGCAAACCTCGGCAGGACCTAAAATACAGTGGCAGGCGACTCAGTACCCGTAGGTCTCAAACTTCACTTTTTTCAAGTACGATTATGAAGGGCAGACGAGGATGTTTGTGTTTTGCAGGGGAGATGGAAGGATATTTGGAAATAGCCTCATGGCCTGAATACTTGACATGTGATATGATCCACTGGCGAAGAAGATGGCCCCTTCCTGCGATGTACCTCAAGGTTGTTATGGTCTAGGGCATCACCAAGGACATTTTCCGCCATAGCCCTTAGCAGATGAACCCTTGCGGCAACAGGGCGTAAAGTACCATCTTTGAGTGGCAAAGACAAAGCCCATTCTACACTTTGCTTCATTCCGCTACTTGCCACGTAGGCAAATTGCAGCGTCGTCGGTCGTCGTCGCTATTGTCGAGATGTCCAACGCCAATACCTCCTGGGCTCGTCTTCCCCCCGAACTTCGGAATGAGGTGCTTAGCATTCTGTCGGGCCTCCACGGCGCTAAGTACAGCCAGCTTGCTACCATTTCGCGAGAATGGCATTCCTTCTTCGAAACGTTGATTTTTGCCGAGATCAGCCTAACGCCATCGCGCCTGTTCGATCCTAACTCTACTGCTATTCTCTTCCGCAAGAGAAGTCTCATCCGTTACGTATGGTTTCGCGTGGAACTGGAGAGTTACCATTGTTACAAGTGCCCACTAGATGTCGATGAAAATGGCAACGACGAGGACAAGGACGAGGACGTGGACGTTTTCGGCGAAAACCCAGCCGATGACAATCTGATCGTGTATGCTTTCTAGAGCTTGGCCACGGCCCTCAGCATGTGGGAGCCGCGTAGCCACTTGGTTCTCGACATCAGTGTATACTCGCCAAGCGATGCGCTCCATGGCTTCAAGTATCTCAGCTTCCGCCCAGACACCCACCTTGGCGAGTGCTCGTCGCTGTTACAGCGCAGCAGCGGACATGACCAGCGAGAAATCACGACCATCCACGACCCGCTTCACTGCTGGGTCGCTGGGCAGCAAACGGAGGCTCCCCACGAGCGCTCTATCTACGACTCCTTCGACGAGATCATGAGCCAGGCATCATTTCTAGACGAGGAACAGGAGATGCGCTGGTGGCGGTCGCTGCCCCTCATGCCTGCGGTCACGGCCGTGCTCCTCCGCCAGCAAACCCGTCGTCAGTGGTGGCCAGCCACCCTCGCAAACATGCTCACGCGCTTCCCCAACATGACGAAGCTTTGCTACGAGCCTTGGAGAGAATGAAGCCAGTCACAGCAACTGAATGATCAACGTTAGTATCGTGCTGACACAATGTGACTTGGACTCGCTGACCAAAACTCGACAGTTACCCAGCAATTCATTGACTCGCTTCACAAGACGAAACTATCGAAGCTGACAATTTTCGAAAACTTCTATGAGGCGTACACGCAAAGCTTTCCCTCTTGTCCCGCTATCAGGGTGCCAAGTCCTGTTGTAAGCCATAAACTCGCGAGAGCTAGTGTGCACCTCACGGAGCTTTCAGCCTCATTCAAGGTCAATGCTAGCTGCTTCTTCTGGGCGAGCAAGAGGTTTTCATTGGAGTGGAGAAACCTCACACGTCTAGCTTTGACAGCGAGGGCACTCACCGGAGATGCGGACTTCGAAGGCATCAGCAGCATGCTACGAAACGCCGCAGGTGCTGCGCCGAAGATGCCGAAGCTTGAGACGATGGAACTTTGGAATGGCAGGCAAGGCGTGGCGATGCTGTTCCGCTACCAGAAAGCTCGGGACGGGCGATTGGCAGCCATCAGCGTTCGGGGGACGTTCGAGCTTGCTCTGGGGTCTGCGGTTACCGAAGCTTGGGAAGCGGTCGCCCTCCGGCATCGTCACGGCAGGGTTGTTGTACAGAGCTCATTGATCAACCCAGATGTTATCCGGTTCCATGGTGATGCGATACGCCAGCTGGGACTCTCTGTGAAGGTTATCAGACCTGTCTCGCTGCAGCAGATCATTGAAGAGCATCAGATTCGGGAAGGGCTGACGACGATTTGATAAGGGATAACTCAAAGGACTTGATTTATCTCGCAAAAGCCATAAATCCGTCAACATCAGATCATAGAAAATCATGTTCCAAGACTTCAGGGCTCTGCACTCCTGCTCACAAGCTATTTGAGCAGGGTGTACTTGGCTTTTACGTGCATAGAAAAGTTAGAATAAAAATTTTCAATGCCCGTTCTGAATCGATCTGACGTTGAAGTAGCGTATTGGCTGAGTCTGTATTACCTTCTGTTCCTCGTAGATTACTTACGCAGGGTACAACGTCAAATGCCCAGCTAACATCTCGAGCTAGGTCTAATTAGACTCGGCATGTCTACCCTAATCACTGGCTAGAGAGAAAATCACACGAAGTACACGACTAGATGAAGGTGCTGTGAACAATAATACAAAGCTTGCAGAGATCAGACCGCCTTATGCTCCTTTCCCCCACAACGAGTCGCTTCTGCGGTATGCCTTTTGGTAACAGCAAATGTACCCCTTACTCCTTCGTCAGCAACCCCGCTCGTGTTGGAACCACGTCATCCTCGCGGAAATTCCCAGGACCTTTAATAAGTGGTTGGAGCTTTGATATCATCCCTGAACTGAATGGAGTAGCATGATAGACAGGCTTATGAACGCAAGTGTCATAGCTGGACAATCTGGCTGGGACCACAGACCAACACCGCTCTTGACGTAGGCCATCCGACACTCTTTGGCATCAGGCAATCTAGTCATCGTCTGACAAAACCGCTCGGGATGTGGGATGTGATAACGACCAATGAGGTCTGAAAGCCATAGCAGGCCGGTTAGCGATGTCATTTTATCGCCGTACAGATGCTTCGTGGCAGCACCACCCGAGGACCAGGCAAGCCAGCCGTGGAACGCAACATCCCGAGGAGATACATCCACCGCCGATGGCCACAGTCTTTTGACAGTACGGCGGAGCGCGCGGGGTACGTGAATGTGGCGGAGACCGCGAAGCAAGCCCCCCTGCCTAGTGACTTATCTCAAAATCCCGGGTAGCTGGTCATCACAACAAAACTGGCAGTTCTCCACGAGCTCCCTTGCCTCGCTGTCTCAGGTACCGAAAACAGGTAGACTGCGGCCAAGGGGTCCTTTATACAAGAACTAATGAGACGTCTTGGGGTTGCTCTACGTTCATTGCGTCCGCCATCGATACTCATTAATCTGGAGTTTTGTTAGTGTGAATCTTTTGACAACATGACGAAGGACGTGAAGAAGTCGTCGGCCGACATCAACGGCAATCCTGAAGATTTGCGCGTGGGTGAAACGTTGACAGACAGAGAACATGACGCCGTCTTTGGAGACATGTCCAAGGACGGGCCAAATTACCGTGATGTAAACATTCTTTCTCCCCTCCCTCAGTATCTCAACCTATTGACATATTCATAGGTTGGATGGTTTGGAACTTCGTGCTTGATGATGAAAACTCAGATTGGTCTTGGTGTCTTGTCATTTCCGGCCGTCTTTGACACTTTGGGACTGATCCCCGGCGCGATTATCCTCTGCACCATTGCTGGCATCACCACTTGGTCGAACTACATCGTGGGAGTGTTCAAAGTCAACCATCGCAGTGTTTATGGCGTCGATGACGCCGGGCAGCTGATGTTTGGTCGTATCGGAAAAGAACTGTTCGCGGTTGCGTTTATGGGCCGTGAGTATTTTCGTAGATGAGTCTCGATCGATATGCTGGGACTGACAGTGTTTAGAATACGTGATGACGGCTGGCTCAGCTATGTTGAGTCTTTCGATCAGTCTCAACGCCCTCTCAGACCACGGCGTCTGCACCGCCATCTTCGTCGCCGTCGCGTTTGTTTTGATCTTCATCTTAGCGAGCATTCGCACCCTCGGTCGCATCACCTGGCTCGCGATAGTTGGCGTCGTTTGCATTATTACGGCAGGTCAGTTCATTCTACGTTTGGCTGTCCATTCGCAAGATAGCTGACAGGCTTCAGTGTTAACCGTGACCATCGCCGTGAGCTTTCAAGATCAGCCCCCGAACGCTCCCAAAGATGTCCATTGGGAATCCGACTTCAGGCTCTTTGGCAACCCAAGCTTTTCCGAGGCTGTCTCGGCCGTGTCGACGCTCATTTTTGCGTATGCCGGCACAGGTGCATTTTTCCCCATCGTATCTGAGATGAGAGACCCTCATCTCTATCCCCGGGCACTGGCGCTTTGTCAAACAGTCGTTACCATCATATTCCTGACTGTTGGCATCGTCGTGTATTACTATTGTGGATCCTATGTTGCCTCGCCAGCTCTTGGATCTGCTGGTGTGACTATTAAGAAGGTTTCGTATGGCATTGCGTTCCCCGGACTGCTTGTCAGCGGTGTGCTTCTTGCCCATGTACATATTCCCCCTGCACTCTGACAGAGAATTTCCCGCTAACTGGGTTCAAAGGTCTCGAGCAAATATCTGTTCGTCCGATTTCTGCGCAATTCGAAGCACCTCGCATCCAACTCATTTGTGCATTGGGCCACATGGTTAGGCTGCAACTTTGGCGTCTGCCTCCTTGCCTACATCCTTGCGAGTGCAATCCCTGTCTTCAACGGCATCGTCTCTCTTTCTGGGGCGCTATTCGGCACGCTGCTATCATTTCAGCCTATGGGATGTATGTGGCTCTTCGACAACTGGGCTCGTAAGGAGAATCCTACTATGCGCTGGCGTCTCATGGTTGCTTGGAGTGTCTTTGTAATAGTGGCTGGCACCTTCATGATGATTGCTGGCACGTATGGCGCCGTTATAGGCATCATCGATTCTTACAAAGCTGATGGAGGCTCGTCTGCTTGGTCGTGCGCGGACAATTCCAACTCTAGCTAGAAGTGAAGATCTTTCTAATTGCCAACTTTTGCTTTTCCTTAATCAAACCTCATCACCTTGTTGAATGTTTCATGAAGATACTAAGACCTCGCCTTATTATCGGATGTGTGTGGACAAGTTTGCGACGCCTGAATACCTCGCTATCGTATGAAATTGTTTCTCAAACAGGTGGGAAACTACCATTTTTTGCATTGATTCTTATCAAATCCTGCTGTTCAATTCACACAAGACTTGCTATTTCGACCGCCGGTGCCAGCTCTGCGGGCGACGCCTTCCAACACCTTCCCCCATCCGCTCCAAAGCGATTGATCTCTTGACCTGTCTCGAGAATATCGAGAACTGTGTAGCTAGGATTTAAGACTCACTCTTGTTCAGTTGGCCAGATTTTGAGGCCTCATTCCCCCGCGCAGAATGCAAGTGCTGTACCTAGCTCCAGAGTCGTATGAAGTGCTGCGGATGACGCTCAACACGCCCGATACGCTCAACTCACGTCACGCAGTAGAAAATCCGCAAATCCGCCATTTGCGGAGGCGGAGCTCCTCAACGAAGGGCGGCTGAGGAGCTCCGCACGCCCCTGGCTGGAGTAGGTCAAGCAGGGGCATTGATTGCATGCCACTAGATCCCCCGCAGTATGCTAGCCTTCCACGGATACCAAACCAGGAAGGCCTCCGCGACAGCAGGCAACTACCTTCCACGCCCTGTCATCTGGCCCCCTTGACTGTCGATAAAGGGGATCCACTTGCCTGACCTGCTCGCGTGTTTGGCCGATTAAACGATAGGCCGTCACTGATGGGACAGGCTCTCCAGAATCAATGACTAAGAGTAGGTTTGAACTAGAAATACAACTCTACGCGGGATGGCAAGCCATGGAATGCCATCACTCAAGTCGATCGCGTATCAAAGTAGGGCTTTGGAGTACGCAAAATTTCATGTTGAATTCTCGTTGCCGCTGCCTATTACAATGTCCAATACTGTAGTTGTCGTTGGGTAAGTCTTCAGATCGGCCTACACAGAACCTTAAGGATATTGGTACTAACGAAGACTTCTTTCAGCGCTGGTGTGATTGGCCTCACCTCCGCGCTATTGCTGGCCAAGGAGGACAACAGCGTAACCGTGGTCGGCAAGTATATGCCCGGCGACTATGATGCTGAGTATGCCTCGCCTTGGGCCGGGGCTAATGTCATACCGTGAGCAGACCCCTTTCTTATCGAAATGGTTCGCTTTCTGATGTGAGTGCGTTATCTGTGCAGGCTATCACCTGAGGAACGGAGTCGCTGGGAACGACGAACCTGGGTGGCACTCAAGAAGTTAACTGAGGAGAACCCTGAGGCAGGTATTCATTTTCAGAGTAAGTTACTGGTCTTTTCATATCCCGGCGCATTGTTCTGTTACTGATGATTCGGGTACAGCAACACACATCCTTCGCCGAGACATAGACATGGCGCGTGACGCATCTGGCTTCTCGAACCATTTCTACCAGCAGAACCCATGGTACAAGTCTATCTTCAACAACTTCCGAGATAACAATTCTTCTGAATTAGCGCCCGGCTATGACTCTGGATTTCAGTATCAGGGGGTCTGTATAAACACAGCCATCTACCTCCCCTGGCTTCTTGGCCAATGTCTAAAGCATGGCGTCGTGGTCAAGCGCGGTAACCTCAGAAACATTAATGAGGCAAAGATACTCAGCCACACGGGCAGGACAGCCAACATCATTGTAAATGCAACCGGTCTTGGGTCTTTGAGACTTGGGGGTGTTGAAGATTCGACGATGGCTCCATCCCGCGGTCAAATCGTTGTTGTGCGGAACGAGACGCCAAAGAACTTCCCGCTATTGATGTGTTCAAGCCCTTTGGATGGTAGTGGCGAGGAAATTTACGCAATGCAGAGAGCAGCTGGCGGCGGTACCATTCTGGGCGGCACATACGACATTGGCAACTGGAACTCACAGCCCGACCCGAACACGGCACTCCGCATCATGCAACGCATCGTGGATCTGTGCCCAGAGATTGCCGGCGGAAAAGGTATCGCAGGGTTAGACGTTGTCCGGCATGGCGTTGGCTTCCGCCCGTGGAGAAAGGGGGGCTTGCGGCTTGAAGAAGAGAAATTGGATAACCAAACCTGGATTATTCACAACTATGGCCATTCAGGTTGGGGTTACATGGGGTCATACGGCTGTGCAGAGGGTGTTGTAGAGATGGTTAACAAGTTGGGTGAGAATACGCGAGCGAAATTGTAAGACAGTTATTGTCTTCAGCCTAGCAGAGATTAAATGGTTGCCTGTGAACAGTTCGCTGTTGTTCATACGAAGGTGAGTGAAGGTTTGATCTCAACAGAACACAGATCAGCTTTTATATTAATGCGTGGCATTACACCTACTTATTTCATTGAGTGTGGTGTAGCGTCGAAACGTAAGCTTGCGGTTGCGGTGGAGAGGTTTAGTCGACAATTCTGCGGGCCACAAATCATCATGCACTGAACTTAAAGAAAGACTGACTGAATTTTGGAGCCTTTGAATTCGCTAGTTTACTTTGTTCACTAAGCAGAAACACTTACTTTCCTTTAGCCTCAAGCAACGCAGATCGTTCTGGCCGCCGATGACGGCAAACCTTGAAGTTTTCATAGGACGCACAATTCATTGTTATAGACGCATCGTTCCATCACAACGTGTACATCTTCTCACAATCCGTGGTCGCGTCAATGAGTTGATCATTACTAACACAACTACTAACATAACTGAACTACCTACCTGCAACCTGGGCGAGGAACTTTGCAAAAAGCAGAATCATGCCAGAAATCAATGATCCAGCAGCAGACCATAAACCACCCCGAGTGTTCTTTACAGTTTTATGGTCAATGATTCCTGTAGCGCGAAGAACTGTGTCAACATGGGCTCTCCCAAGCTGCTTTCCCTCCTGGCAGGCGAGTAACCCTGCAACTTTGATAACGTTCTTGATCTCTCGTCCGTTCATCGGCAGCAGCGCAAGCTCTTTGACATCACTGTCAGACAGATTGTGATTTTCTGTTACCAATCGTGCGAAGCGCCCGAAGAGCTCAGACTTTGCTTCAGGGGCAAGGTCAGGGTAGTTCAGTGTCATGTGGATTCGACTCTTGAAGGCGGGGTCAATGGTGTCGTTTCGATTCGTTGTCATGAAAAGAATTCCGCGATAGTATTCAAGCTGTCTAGCTAAGCTTGTTATTTTCATTCTTTTGAAGCAGCAGAGATAGAGTGAAATGGCTAACCGCAGGAAGACAGCAACAATTTCGTTGTGGGCAAGCTGAGCAGTTGAACGTTTCTGTAAGAATACGTCGCACTCGTCAAAGAGAAGTACTGCATCCCATTTTGCAGCAAGTTCGAGGACCGTTGTCAATTTCAACTCCAGATGCTGTGCACTTTGGCCGAGTTCGCCAGCACTCAGTATGTAGAGGGGTCTCCGAAGTTTGTCAGCCAGGGCCTCGGCAGTCAACGTTTTCCCGATACCTGGGTTGCCGACCAAAAGCATGATGTTACCCAATCCTTTCCCTTGGATTATGTCGTCGAATCCAGACTTTCTGATACCTTCGATCAATGAAAGCATGAGTGATTTGTAACCATGAGGTAGAATCATGTTGTCGAAGGCGTCGCTGTTGAATTCGATGCTGACAATGCCATTCACTCTGAACTCAGCCCAAACTTTCCATTTAAAGGAGTAACCTAGAACATGTGTGTTGCAAATGAGCAGCTGCTCGTTTGTCAAATCTTGCTCAGGTACTTGTTCTAAATTGTCAGCAAAGGATTCTTGTGCGGCTATGTTAACATCCGTAGTAGTTCCTTACCCGATCTTTGTTCTGTATGGACTTCCTTGCCCGCCGAACCAAACACCCTACCATAATGGCGATTTAGCAGAGATCTGGATGCCCAAGGAAACCGGTTCTCGTGCTCGTCGTGCTCGTCGCCTTTGTCCGATAATCCAGGCATAATAGCCGTTGAGGTGAGTGCTGCAAGCCTTTGACGGGAACCGGGGTTCTCGCAATAGTATGAGCTAGCATCTATGATGATACGGCCATCACCCTATGTCTCATTTGTATTAGACCTGGCCCCTTTGTCTATATATAGTTATAAGACTCGACTTACGTTGAGTTGAATTTGTTCTTGTCTTCTTTGGAGTGAAGAATCGATCCTCACTGGTCCGGAGTAGGCCATGTAATGGAATCCTCGAAGTTCCCTGAACTTCCGTCCTCTCTCTAAAGCCTTCGTTGCTGAAGCTTCAAAGTCTTCGTGGAAGTTCACCGGATATAGCCCAAGACCATTGATAGGTCTCATGCCGGCGTACTCACCTATGCGGAACGACACATCAGAGTACCCGAATCGTTCGCCGTCCCAATCGACGAATCTGGCATGGATATTGGCGTGCTTCTTTTGTTGGTCGTAGTCGCAGCCGGTAGCAATGAAGAAGCGTTCGTCGTCTTCCTCATCTGTGGTCACCAGAAGCACTCCTGGCTCGAACAGGGTCCAAAGAAGTGGATATGTCATGACTCGATTTTCAAGCAGATCCTTGGCCTCAGAGACAACACCGTGCAATTCCTTTTCGAGAACATCATAAAGTAATTGTGTGTACTTTGCAGCACCAGGGTCTGATGTCTTTTGCCGTTCCAGCACCTTCTCCAGAGTTTGCCATCTGTGATAGAAGGGAGTAAAGGGGGCTTTGAAAACCAGCTTTTTGAGAGATGGTACGATATTATCGAGCCCTCTGAACACTTCTCCAAGAGTCTGCTTAAGAGATGAGCTGTGCACAACAACAGAGTGCAGAGACAACACTTGGTTATTTTGATGGCTCTTTCGCATTCGGATGATGAGGGCCTTCAGTTTAACATCCGGCTGTTCCTCAACAAGGATTCTCAAATCATCGGGATAGTCCTCTACCCAGTTGATGCAACAGCTGCATTTTTTGGGGCCCTCATAGAGTGTGTGGACAGCACATTCGGACTCTCCTGGCGTAGGGATGGGGCCCACATGTTTGATCACCCTCTCAGCGCTCGCCAGTGAGAAGACGTCCCACTGGCTTTCGTGGTTCGATTCGTTTGTTTGTTGAGTCGCCATCAGAAGCCAAGACTGCTGAAAAAGTCTGAGTTGAAAATGCTGAGACTGCTCTGAAAAAGGTCCTGAAAGTGCACGGCACTGCGCGAGGATTCTCTTATCAGATTTCAACATGGCGGTCCTGGTTGCTATCCCGTTTCACATGAGCTTGCAGTGTGACTTGAACATCGGGCTCAGGTACTTTGTAACATTGCCCTTGATGCGACATTCGTTTATCGATGACGTCCAAAAATTATTGTTGAATCATCATCTGACAACATGATAGGGTAGTTTACGTGACCTCCGGTAAGGCATCCGACACCTGCTGCGTCACGCAGAAAGGGCGTAATTGCCTTACGGCTTTGTGTAACCGTCAGACCTTGGGGGTTCAGCTTTGCTACGTTGTTTTATCCTGATAGGCCAAAGCTGCGCTGATTATTTAGAAATCACGCCATGAGGCGTCCACATGATGTCTGTTTATGACACATTCGCAGACTTTGGTATAGCATACCAAGCCCCATTAATCTATCTGTAGGTACTTTGTGGACTTGGCTGACCGCTTCACTATCTCACTGGCTATTTGATGCATCAGGCAGGCAAAGTTACTTGGCATGCCGTCGTCGCCTGAAACTAGGCTGAATCTGCATCTGATGGTCATAACGAAATAGAATGATACCGGCGTCATGACCCCCTTGTTTTCAAGCGGAGTTTGCAGAGCCAAATCTCCTCGACCCTTTGAAGTAGAAAAATGTGTAAAAGAGAAGGTGCGGCATTCCAAATGATCACTACGAGAACAACAGCGGCGATTACTTCATACTACCTTTAGTCAGCTTTTCTTAGGTCAAGATTCTCTAAGACGCGTCATGGTGATAGTCAAGGAGCCAGACTATCTCTTGAGATTTCTTGGAAGCCTGCGGGATGATTTCGAGGACGCAGATGTCGAAGATCTCTGGCGGCATCGTATCTTCCCATTGATACATACCGATGACTTTTCGGACAACTGGAGGGCAGTTCACGACTCGAATGGCATTTTCCATGTTGGAACAGACACTGTCGCTCGCTATAGTGTTGAACCACAACCACATCACGTCGGTCTATGCGAAGTAACGCTGGGCAGTGTTTTAAATCCTTCACCAAGGACAGTTGTATACGAGGCGATCATCTTCGCCAAGTTACTCTACTCTATGTCTCTTGATAGTCCAGGACAGATCTCAAGAGACACGGTTCAAGCCAGAGATCGTCACTTCGTCAGTCATTATGCACGAAGACTGCCAGTCAAATGGCGAGGCTTAATTATCCAGAACAGCTTGCACTACTACGGCGAAAATGATCACCGACATCTCTCAAAACCGGAGAATATCAGGATCTTGAAGCTACTTCCAAGCTATGAGTCTCACAGCCCTATCGAGTGCGCCTTGGAAGAAGTTGAGATGGAATCACAGCCTTTTGAGGCACTCTCGTATGTGTGGGGCCCTCAAACTAGCCGGAAGATCATTACTCTCAACGGCCGATGCTTTCCGGTTGGGAAAAATCTTGAGGCTGCACTTAGGCACCTGCGATTGAGGGATACTAGAAGAACGTTATGGATCGACGCCATCTGTATCGATCAATCCAACTTACAAGAACGGGCCGATCAAGTTGCTCAGATGGACCGCATTTACGAGAGTGCATCCAAAGTCATTGTCTGGGTTGGTCGCGAGTCGTGCACAAGCATCTTCGTCTTCGCGGCTATGGAGATATACAAGCTTAACGGAGGCAAAGAGTCCCCAACTTGCGTGGATGACTTCATAAGCTTTCTGGTCGATGCGCGAACAACTTGTCTCTTCTGCGAGGGGTCCTTCGACTCAGCGCACCAAACAGACCGAAGTTCTCGTACACGCCTTGCGGAAATTCAGGAGCATGCAAACTCGTGCAAGTACGCCGAGTTAAGAAAGAATTTCGGAATTACTTCAACATCCCTCGATCTTTCATTGCTAAGTATACTCCAGGCCTTCGCTCAGCTCTTTCAGAGGCCTTGGTGGCAGCGAGTCTGGGTCTTGCAGGAGGCTATTCTTGCAAAGAAGGTTGTTCTACAGTGTGGACTCCGAGTCTTCGACTGGCATCTCCTTCGAACAGTCGTGTTCGCTCTAATTCAACTCGGAAGAAGAAGCATTCATTTTGGCGACAAACAAACTCGAGCTATGACATACATAGCTTTTGTTCACTTCGCAAAGAGC